GCAAACAACTTCACGGTGTATACTGCCACCCGCAGTCCCCGGCCGGAAGGCCCCGGATTTGGGGACTGCCTTCCGAGTAAATCGCCAGAACGCCGACACCTCCTCATCTCCACCGATCCCATGTTTTATTTTGTGTTGCCATAATTTAGTCTCTCTGCCCTGGGCTAATGCATAATGCTAATGCAGGATAATAAAATGGTGGCTTCACAACACTTTTTTTGAGTTTTACGGGGCGTGGTTTGCAATCCGCCCAGCCAATCAGAAATATAGCTCTTTTATCACAAGAGAGCCGCATGAGAGTCCCTGCTCTCTAGCAGGGACGAAAAAGGGGGTAAAAAGGTTCTCATGAACTAATTATAGTTCCGGCTCTTTTTGGTGTGAACGCGACATTTCGGAACTATATCGGAACTAAAGTGGGAAAAGTACTCCGGTGTGAACGCGGCTATTGACAAATATCAAGACACAATACATGAAAAACAAGCAACAAACATTGAACATAACAGCACAATCACTGAGGGAAAACATGCTCAAAGAGCCTTCCGCGCGCATTTGATCTGGATTCAGCTCTGTGTTTACTGTGAGGGTTGACTGGTGCACAAAGGAGTGCTTCAGTCTGACCGTATTGGATCGTGGGACCCTGTATCTCCGATTAGAAGGTAGCAGTTCATATTCGCTGTTCAGAACATGGTTTGTGTCCGCGATGATGTTGTGGATATAGCACGTCCATGTTAGCTCAAGTTTTTAAAACACCAATTTCTACTGCAATGAAGTGTGTTAAAAATGTAAGAAAACACAGCCTCCAGGGGGAAATAAATGTCTAAAAAGTCTTCACCGTGTCACTGAAAAGGTGCAAATAGTATTCAATGTGGTATTTTAAGTTGTTATAGTGTAGAGAGTAGGGATGTGCATCTCCATCACTGAGGCCGATGCGATGCGCATCTCGATACGTTGCCACGATACGATACATTAACGATACATTTGAAACACCAGGCGATGCGATACGATACGATTCACCCCTGTTGCGTGAATCGTATCGTATCGCATCGCCTGGTGTTTCAAATGTATCGTTAATGTATCGTATCGTGGCAACGTATCGAGATGCGCATCGCATCGNCAGTGAGTGGTAGATATAGTTGTTATACACAATACGACCAGTATGAAACGGGCAGCATTAGAGTAGGTACAGACACAGTATTGGTAATATATTGTGTAAAAAAAGTAGGATATGGAGAAATATTAAAATTATAGTAAAAGATAATCTGCAAACTACACTTCCTTTTGCCAAACAATNATCACGTCAATGTGTTAGCGCTCTCTGCTGGACAAACTATGGAATGAAGACTTCCTAAAAAATATTATTTCTGGAAAACAACATATACAGGGACGTATCTAAAGATAAAATCAAATCAACTTCCAACACAACACATAAGAAGGTATGTAACAAAGTAACCGAAAACCAAAAAGGACAAGGGTAACAAATATCTCACATTGCCTGCTCCTTATTGAAAATAGATTCATAATAAATAAACAGATGCTCAGCCAAGAGAGTTCTGCAGGAATTAATCCTAAAATGTAATGAGTCAGCATTTTAACACTTTTGTTTTACTTATTTAAAACTCTCCGACTCTGTGGCAGAAACACTTGTACAGGCCTTCATCACATCCCGTCTGGACTACTGCAATGGAGTCCTGTCCGGGGTTCCCAGCAAAACCCTGTACAGGCTCCAATACGTCCAGAACTCTGCCACCAGGCTTTTCACCCACACCAAGCCATGGCAACACATCACCCCCACCCTCATCCACCTCCACTGGCTGCCGGTCAAGTCCCGGATTCAGTACAAAACACTCCTCCTCACGTACAAGTCCCCCCATACCCTCGCCCCCCAGTACTTATCGGACCTCCTCCATCCCTACACCCCTTCTCGGAGTCTGCGGTCCTCAGACACCTCTCCATCCCCCGCTCTCGCCTACGAACGGTTGGTGCCAGGGCGTTCAGTGTTGCGGCCCCCACCCTCTGGAATGCACTTCCTGCCGAGATCTGTCATGCTGCCTCCCTGGACATCTTCGAATCATCATTAAAAACACACCTGTTCGCCCTGGCCTTCGGGCCCTCGCCCTTTCTTGGTCCCCCGGCTTCCTTTATTTTTTGTTTGTCCTTTGATTGTCTGTTTGTTTTGTTTGTCCACCATGTACCTTGGGTCCTTTGAAAGGCACTATATAAATATAATTTATTATTATTATTATTATTATTTCAGAGTCGATAGGTTTTTTTGAATGGGATTAGCGAAAATGTCTGAAATAAGGTCGGTGATCAACACAAATTAAGGAGATTTTATACGATCTATGATATAAAATAAGTCAGTAAATACCCTACTCGTGAATCTTTGAGCCTTCAACATTTTACAAAAAGAGGAAACTCATCTACTCAGCGGTGGTGATGTTAAAGTCCTCTTTTAGCCACACAGTGAATCAACCATCTGAGAGCAGGAAGCTGAACCACTGGCTTCATAACACATGTTTTTGCTTGTTTACATGTTTACATACTCAGAGGTTTTCAACAGGCCTCGGCTCTGCAGCTGCTGCACCACCTCCTGGGCTCCATGTTGGTGAAAGGACTCCCCGGAGTAAATATCAAAGTGGACGTTTAAACGCTGAAAAGATTTGAAAATAAACCTTACATTTAACATTAAAACAATGGATTGGAGCCAACTCAAAAAGGGACACAATTGGTATTGGTATTATTCCAGCTGGTCTCACTTTGTAAACACGTTGATACTCGTCCACTGTGATCTCTCTGAACTGTTGCCATAACGACACAGCTTCGCTCTCATGCTGCTCCAGCTGTCTGAAGAAGTCTCTGGCCGCCTGCATCGTGTCCTCATTGTGCTCCGCTTCCTTGTTTACTTGAACATAAACCTGCATGACAAAAACAAAGGCCTTGGTGGTATTGAAGAAAACGTTTTTTTTTTTAAAGCAGCAACAGAAATGTTTCCCCCCCCGGTGTTCTTAAGTGGTATTATTGATTGTGCCGCTGCAGGAATTATTTCCATTTGCCATGAAGCTAGCATTAACACTGCAGTGGTTTCCAAAATGCATATTCACCTCAAACAAATGCTGTAGGGGATTCTGTTTCAGTTTTTCCTGGCAGCCAAATTTTCCAAACCCAGCCCCTAGCAAACCTGAAATAACATATATAAAGTTTACACAAAGAGAAGCATTTAGGACTTTATTCACAATTCAATATGTTGCGCACTATTTACTCACCAAACTGCATACCCCAGTCTCCGAGGTAGTTCATTCTGATAACATTGTTTCCAAGTGACTGCTTTAGGTTGGCAATGAAGTTACCTGGAGACGGAAATTATAATTATATATATATATATATATTTATGTGTAAATAAGTTCAAGACAAAACTCACCAATAATTGTAGATCTTAAGTGTCCAGCGTGAAACTTCTTGGCAATATTTGGAGAGCTGCAAAATGAAATACACATTGATTCTGTCTGTTGACAATCTAAGAGGGGAATACATGCATGTGGTGGTGGTGAGGTTATTTGTCGAACATACCTATACTCAACTAATGTTGTTCCTTTCTTAAGAGTCTTGAAGAGTTCACTATTTAATCCAAATTTGTGATCATCCTCCTTTCCAAATGGCTCCAACATTTTCTATAATCAGAAGTGAAAGAACAGATTAGAAATCGCAGTACAAGCAAACAGGACTTTAATTTTTTTACCGAAGAGGAAAATGAAGCTGACAAACCTCGACAAGAAGCTTCCGATTCACTTTGAAGTGTATCACTCCATTTCCAGCAGAAATATCTTCCACCACACTGTCCTGCTTTAACTGAGACATACAACATTGATTTTAATGCAGATATATAAGATCATGTGTTTCTTATTGTTAAGGAAACAGAAATGTTCAATTAACTTTTTGATTGAAGTCAAACTTTATATAACACATTTAACACAATATAAAAACAAATACACAAACAATAATAAAACCCATTAACAACATGTTAAATGGTGAAAAAACAGTCTATTTGTGAGCCTGCAACATCACAAGTTGTATCTTTAACCAGACTTTCTCCACATGTGATCTTACCCGGTTGGCTAATTCCTCTGATTGCTGCTGGGTGTCACCACTGGATGGTAAAACCCCACTGCTCCGTAATGTGTTGATTGACAGTTTGAAGTCAGGACTCTGTCTGAGGAGAACAAGTTCAAGGAGCTTTAACAAACAAAACACATAAAGAAAGGACACACAGAGGTAATCTTAAACAAACTTAACTGTTTCCTAAAAACTGGAACTGCTGACAGAGCTGGTATGAAGACATCCTCAGACTGCTGCAGCGCACGACCCAGCTACACAGCAAAAAAAGACGTATGAGATATCAAAAACAGCTTGAAGAACATAGATAAACAGACAGTCCTGCCTCTTGTATTTACATCCTCCAGGGTCAGGGCATGTTGCTAAGTTAGCATTAGCATAGTGTGTCATCTATCAAGCTTCGTTACCTTTGCTGCTATCTTTCTTCTGAAAAAACAAGCCATGTTTCTCAAACGATCAAACACGCTTCAATGCAAATAAAGTAGTTGCTAAGTTAGCAACAATTACATTATGTTTAATCAATTCACATTGGTATAGCTACTGTCCTTCCTCCTTAGCCACACCGCTTTCCTGCCAGCTCGTCCAATCACAAGCTTCGTTTGCTTACTACGTCACCGACTAGAATGGGTTCGTTCGATTATTTTCTCCGTTCCTCCCGACGGTGGGTAACATCCGGCCACTTAAACCAGGTTCATGAAAAACGAAATATAATAAATACATATGTAATAAATTAATAAATAATATTTATACAAAAGTAACCCAAAGTGCTCCAGATAATAATTATAAACCCAAGAAATTAAAAAATATTTAGACAACTATGTAAACAAATACGGAAAGGGACATTTTAGCTCATTTGAATATATTCATTTGGTTTTCATCTGCTGATCATTTACACATAAAATGCAAGCTTTTATAAAATGTTAGCATAGTGCCTGCTTTCTTATACTAGTGAACGTTTAAACCCATGATTGTATGAACAATGTGTATCTTTATTAGTATGTCCTGATGGCTTGATACAAGACGGTCCATCATGAATTATTAGTTTAATACCATAGCCTGTAAAGGTTGATACCCTGGTTCAAGTGTCACATAATGCTGACTTGACTTTCTTTTTTTAAAGTTATTGCTGCCAGCTCCAGTGTGAATGCAGGGGCCTGGCAATAAATAGTGAGCTGAAGCTTAAAAAAACCCAGCAATACTTACATTTCTCTACATAATATTCCCAATGATAATAGTTGATTAAGGATGTTGCTCAGTGGGTTAGTAGTACGCTGATCTTAAGGGGGCACTGCAGTCAGCATCTCGTTGTGTCATTGGGCAAGACACTTCACCCTAAATAATGATTATTTGTTGTATGAAACACTTGAGACATTTAAGACGAAGAAGCTAAAACCAGACTCCTCACTTTCATTGACCTGTGGTGGTAGCATGTAAAAAAAAATGACCTTATCGTAGGGCTGTGCAATTAATCTTATTTTAATTGCAATTACGATTTTGTCCTGCCACAATAACGAAAACAATCGAAAAAAACAATTATTTGACTTTGCTAGGTTGTGACAGTGCACTGCAACATATTTGATCTAATTTATTTGTATTTATATATGTTTGTAGAAGTCCGCTCCAAAATATTTGTTGATCTTGTTTATTGGTATTTATTATTTTAGTATTGGTTTTTCACTTGAATTATACATTCAGGGTAATCAAGTAAAAAAAAGATTCTGTTCAAATTATTATTTGTATTTGTTTTAAAGTTCAATAAATGGATATTTTCCATGTCAATGAATAATCGTATTTAATAATCGTGATGTCAATTATTGACCAAAAATAATCGTGATTATGATTTTTGTCATAATCGAACAGCCCTACCTTATCTTAACAAATTATGTGAAAAAACACAACACAAATACTTGTGTAAACACTTTATTTGTCTGCTCTTCTTGAATCAAAGCCCCTTTATACATACAGCAAATAAAATCAAGACATTTTGGTACAATGAAAATAGGTCAAGCAAAAAAAAGAGAATACAGTGTATAGAAATGTAAAAGCAGGAAGTGCCTGTACAGATTAAATGCTGAAAAAAGCCAAGATGCCAGGAGTCCAGTCTGAAGGCAGCCTTCGCTCGTCCACTTGCCAATGTTGAATCCCTTTTTTCAAAAATGTACATCGAGATGTTAGTCGTAAAATCCTCTCTGTGAAATAACTAAATCAAACAAAAACGTAATAAAATCAAAAGGCAAAGTGTGATTGGCAGTCAGCCTTTTACGAAGGCATCAGAACAAAGCCAAATAAATATTGACGCGGCGGTTAAGAGGCAACAGGTAGAGTCACAGAGAGAGAGTCCTTAAACAAGTCTGCAGCAGGAAGCCCTCCTAACTCTGGCAGACCAAGCCAACGCCACAAACTGAGTCCACATAGATATGGCACAGTTAGGAGGAAGGTCCAACTAGACCCAATGAGTCCCGGAGAATTTTGCAGCAAATTGGATTCCTTAACGTCAGAGGCCCACACTCAGGAAACGTCTGCAGAGGAAGGAGATGACACTTCAATACAAAACACATTTTGAATCGCTTCCTCAACAACTACCACACGTGTCTGTCTCCAGAACACACACCACAGATGCAAGGTATTTGTTTGGGTTAAGACCTAGTATGATTATATTGGCCTCCATTTTATTCCCCTGCTTTACCGTGTTCTCCTCACATTACGTCTCGGAGCAGTCAGAGATTAAAAGAAAAGGGCAAGCAGAGCGAAGTATAGGGGTCTCTACGAGCAAGACCTTCTGGATTTATTTGAATGTATTTATCTTTATTTGAATCGGGCCTGTTTAGCTACACATTGGACAAGCAGCTGTCTTCTGTGCACAATGTAAACACACCAGAAGTGAGTCCTGTCTTACACAACAGGACCAAACGTTGCTTTCAGGGATCAGTAAGAAAAACAAAATACAAATACCATAACAAATAAAACAATAAATATACTCACAGCTGGCCGGCTGCTCTCCGAACCTCCGCATCAGTTGGTCGTGCGTGAACTTGACAAACGTGTCATATTGCTCTGTTGGAAGAACAACACATTAATTAGAAAATGTATGAATGACTCACGCCACATTGTTCCACATATCTTTTTTTCACGCTTTCATACCGGCAAGCTTTGTCGTCAGAATCTCGTCGTACTCCTCGCGGATTTTGTCCTCTCGCTCTTTCAGCAGTCTTTCACAAATCATCCCAACCTGTCGGAGGGAAAATAAAGGCTGCTCTTTCCTGAAGGGAGACGAGGCACCGGAGGACGTACCTGTTAGGAGAGATGAGATCACACGTTAATACAAAACAGATGAGATTACACACAGACTTACAACCTGGCCAGGCTCATATTACAAAACTTAGAACACTGATATCATCCGGCTGCCAAGCAGGCATGGCAACACAGTTATGCATAACCTGATGTAAGCTCCTGCTCGAGTCTCAGCTTTCTCAGAGTGGGTTTAATACAAAATAAAAAAAACATAATAAAAGAAAGTGAAAGGATAAAAGGGACTTTCCATCGATATCATTCCTCTACTCAGGGAGTGGCTGACGCTGTGGGATTTCCCATTGTAGTTGGCCAATTCAAAAGTAAATTAAAAAAAAGGCCATTCTTTCTGAGTATCAGGACGGTAACTGCGTGCTGTTGTCAGCTAATAATATTCAGGTGGACATCCTAAGCAGGACATGAACTAACTAGATCTCACTAAATGTACGTTTGAGTTGATCAGTAAAGGAATGGTTTATCACAGTTGTTCTAGGTTGAATGCATCTGTGAACACTTCTGAATCTCCTCACTAATAAGGATGGTAGCTACCTGGCAGGGCTGATCCACTCTGGTTCTGCAGATCCAGAGGACAGCAGCTGCTTTCCTGCTGGAAGGTGCTGTCCAGGTGTCGTCGTTTCTGCAGCCGCTTGTACTCCTGTTTGATGTTGTGTAGGATTTGCTCTGAAACAGACAGAAACAACATTTGCTCCATTACACAAGGGACATCTTCATACAGAGGTGCTGCAGAGGTCAAGCATCATGTTGCCTCTCTGATGTACCCAGGTAGATCAAGACAAACAATTGAAGAGATAGCTACTTTCTGTAAGCATAGAATACGGCATCCATAATATTGGTAAGTACCACAAAACATTGTTTCCTTTTTTATTTACTGAAATGGAAAATCTATACCGGAGCACACAATGAAACTAATATAATCGAAGACAAACTAAAATGTCTATCTTCTAATAACTTCGAGGCATCAATTATGTTCAGAAGAAAACTTTAATAATTTACACAACAGTCAAACCATTGCTTCCTGCTCTTCCCACACTTAACTTCCTCAAACCATTGTTAACTATTAGTACAATGAAAGTATTCATGTATAATTACTGCCGAATTTACAACCAAGCAATAAAGATTCACATGAAATCGTCTTTATACGAGTCTTCCATCGCAAAGGGATTAACAAGAACAACACTCCTTTAACTTGACAAATTACATGTGGGGTTTGGCTTTAACAAAACGACAGACACCGGTACACAGGGGGGGAGGCTAATAGCGAAAGCTAATAGTGTCCAGTTTACACTTAAAAATAGTTTTCCCATAATGTACTTGGGATTACACTGAATTCTGAAAATGTGGATTGAAATTCCTACCTGTGGTGAGTCTTGACGACACTTCCCCGAAAGGCGAGGGCTCCATACGCAAATACTTCTGAGGTGAAGAGACTGGAGACATGATCGGGGTGCACCTCCTCCTTTTTGGGGAAGCCTGGTTCATCAGTGGATCAAAGTCCATACTCCTCTTCAGGGTAGCCCCGCAAGCCATCACGCAAAACGGTGTTTTAAAAAAGTATGAATAGAAAGCTGTAATCCCTGGTTATCTGCGAAAGTCCCTGATTTGGGCCCCGGTCTGTGGTGACAATGCTAGCTAACGTTAGCTAAATCCAACGGCAGCGGCGATTCCGGGCGGCAGACAAATACGCCTTATTTTCGCTATTGTTGTCTTCTGCTGACAAATCTCATTGAGATTATGTTGAAAAATATGTCTTGAGATAATCCGGCCAAAATAATTTGAGGTTAATTTGCTATAAAATCAGATGATTGCAGATTTTGCTGCACTACATCCGAGGAGTACTCTCAACGGCTCAGACTAGTTTACCTTTAATTCCGTTCCATATGATCGGCTATGAGCATGCGTGAAAACGGTTGCACGCTGGTACTTGTAGTTTTTGTTCCCTACAGCACCCACTGTTTTTATATACTTGAAGACTACGTTTCCCGAAGACTATGAAAATGACAATGTTCCTTTTATTTCAAATTTGTTTGTTTTCTTACAAACCACTACACTACGAGGAAGTTTCAATTTCACTTAAAACGTTTAATAGAACAATATTAATTATTATTTTTGAATGCAAATTATTAATTAAAAAAGGATTTATATAACAAATACAAAACATTCTTTTTAGATAGGAATCTAATACTAAATGAGCATTCCCTTTTATTTACAAGGAAGTGAGGAAACAATTATACCAATCTCATATCAATAGATAAAGGTCATTTT